GGCATGTGGTGCTGGGGGATCGAACCGTGGTCCCTGGGCTTTGCTAAGCTTGTTCTAAGTAGGTGCTTTAGACCACTGAGCCATCTCACCAGCCCCTAAATTATTTTTAAATGGTCTACTTTTGACTTTTTAACTGTTCCTCACTAAAGCCAACTTCATTTAGCATTTTCCTTTCTCTTAAGATCATATACATGATCAATGTTATTCACTCCTGGGCTGGGGGTGTAGCTCAGTGGTAGCGCATCTGCCTACTATAAACAAGGCTAGGTCATATCCTTAGTACCACCAAAACAAAAGAAAAAAATGTATACACTACTGTAAGAAATATTCAAAATATTCATTAATCAAAAATAGTATTATGTAGGTGATATTTAATTTTAAAAAACTGTCTCAAGCATAACACTGTTAAATGAAGAACATAGTTTAGATTTAGAAAGAAGCATTGCCTCTTACTGCAGGATACATCTGAGAAGTAAAATAACTCGGATTCTAAGGTAAGCTGAATTTTACACGAATGTTTATGTAAATGCTGAACTGAGGATGTAGCTCAGTGGCAAGGTGTTTGCTGCAATGCAGGAGGCTCTGGGTTTGTTTCCTAGCACTGCCACAAAACCAGTAAGTACTATTTTATGCAAAACTGTTTCTTTTCATAGCTCAGATTATATCAAACACAGAATAACTAAGTGGACATGTAAAGGATGGTTGTAGATTTTTCATGACTCATATGCTAAAGTAACATGCTTGTTGAATTCAAATTCTTTAATGAGCTTTCATTTTCTGGCGTTATTTTAAATAGGTTCAAATTGGATCCTGCATATTGTCAATGAAATAATATTTACTGTTTCTAAAAAAAGATGTGAATATCCAGAATTCCCAGTACTTGAATGTGGAGACTCAGAAAAATATGAGGTTAGTACAGTTAGCCTTTAAGCTTACAGCAAATTACCATAGAAAGTTTTCTCCCATTTCAGAGATTCTTTTTTGTCTGTTTGTTTGTTTTGGGTTTTTTTGCAGTACTGGGGATTGGACTCAGGACCTTGCGCTTGCCAGACAAGTGCTTATTCTCCTGAGCTATCTCCCCAGCCCTCAGAGATTCTTTAATGTGAAGTTCAAAAAGTGTGATATTCTTAATTATTACAGTTTAATATATGCCCTCCATAGCCTCAGTAGTTTTCAGATATTAACATTTTTATCACAAAACCAATAAGGAAAACTTGCCTGGCAAGCTCAAGGACCTGAGTTCAATCCCTGGTTCCTCTAAATAAATAAATAAATAAATAAATAAATAAACTTAAAGACTTGTCCAAGGTGAGGCACAAGACAAATTTGAACCCAAGCTTTCTGATTTGAGCTCTTAAAATAGACACTGTGTACTCATCCTTGTGCCTTTTTTTTTTAAGTGGAGGAGAAAGAAAGCTAAATAATCTTAGCAGATGAATTAAAAGAGAGAGAAAAAAAAGGCTTATGTCTGAAGAAGGAGACATGAGAAGAATGCTAGTAGGAATCTCCTTTCCTTATGAGTCATGTTTTCCAAATTTTATTTTTACTAATATGTGTTTGTAGTACAGAATGATTACATTCATGGTGGGGAGCTGGGCCATTGCAAAACTCATCTTAGTTCCTTTTTTACATTTCCATTATTTTTTATTTTCCTATCTCAGGTAGGGCTTTGGTGTATGTAAGGGGTTGGTAAAAACCAAATAGGAGGGCTGGGGAGATGGCTAAGTAGAATAAGCGCCTGCCTGGCAAGCGCAAGGGCCTGAGTTCAATCCCTGGTTACCATCCCCTCAAGAAAAATGAAGCAAAGAAAGTTTTGGGGCTGGGGAGATAGCTCAGTGCACAAGGGCCTGAGTTCATTCACTAGTTCTAAAAAAAAAAAAAAAGAAAAAGGAACTAAGAAATCAAATCACTGAAGTGTGTGAAAATATTCACAGGTCACCCATAGGGTATTACCCTCCCAAAGGAATTGGGACTTGGGTGTAGTTCAGGATGCTCAGCTCCCTGCCCACGGAGGGGAATAAGGAGTGAGGAGGGAGAATCTGACTCAGGGTCTTAGCACTCAGGAGGAGGAACAGGAACACACACACACACACACACACACACACACATATGCAGTGGAAAGGAAGCATGGGTTCCATTCAAGGGGAACTGTAAGGATCCATTGGTCTCAGTTGGATCAGTTGGACCCGGAGAGAAAGAGTGGCAGGAATGAGAAAAAGACAGGAAGACAAAGCTAGGCTAGGTGGCGGCAGATCTGCCTGTTGGGCAAGACGAACCCTGGAGTAACAATATGGATGCTTATTTATACCTTTGCAAAATTAGTAACACATGACACCAGGTTGCCTAGTGACTAGTAGCCGACATTAACCAGTCAGGATGCTTATCTCGGGACTGAGGTAGCTTGTTTGCTTGAGGCTCTGAGGCCTAGTCCCGCCAACACACAAATTTTCTAGCTTCTGCGGCTCCCAACAGGGAACCTCTCCGCAAAACCAGCGTTCCCAACAGGCAGACGTCGCTCTGATGAGACAAAAAGTTACTATGAAGGAAGGCACTGGAATTGGGACTTAAGGGACAGCTTCTGGAAAATGACCCCAGCCTGATGAAAAATACAAACAGGAAAGTTAGCACCTGGGTGGAAGTCCATTTCCATAGATTGGGCCAAGGGAGCAAAAAACCCATTGTGAGTGGGGCAGATATTTAAGGACTTGGGGACAGGATAAGGAAAGGCAACCACTGAATCCTGGAGCAGACATTGTAAAGTCTTTTTTTAATTTTAAGTGTGACTTCATTATGTGTAGGAACAATGCTACTTTTCTGTACAATGTGCCTTTTATTTTTAAATACCAATACGGTTTACAGAAAACTTTTCCAGAACCCATAGATTTTCTATAAGCAAGATATAATAGTTGGTTTTTACATTGTTTACGGCTTGGCTATATTATACATTTTCAAGAAGACAGTGTTACATATTGAGTTTCATGACAGCTAACTTCCATTTTCCCCTTGGATAATTTTTCTAATCCTTTTAGTAACTTTGCAGTTCTCAGGTGTCATATTATTTTCTGTCCATGTAGTTTAGTAGAAACAGTACTCTATAACTTAATCTGAAAATTACCACCTGTGTGTTTGCATAAAGCATTTAAGCCTCAGAGGCTACATTTAATCTCTAAAGTGGGGGTTCCGTTATCTGCCTGAAAGGATCATTGTGAATGAATGAACGTGAAAGTACTGCAAATACTAAAAGTATAACTTGATATAAATCAGATATCACTACACAGCATCACGTGGACCCCTATTGTTGATTTAAATTGCTTTTCTTTTCTTTTTTTTTTTTTTTTTTTGGATACCTCATTCATTCTTTATACCTCATTTTTATCCCCTTGCTTGAGTTGAGCTCTCTACTAGGGGTTGTTTGTTTGTTTGATGCTTTCTTGTATTTTAGTACAGGGTCAACAGCGTCTCACTATGCAGATCACAGTCCTAGTAATCCGCCGGCGTTCAGCCTCCTAGGAGCTGGGAGTCCCGGTGTGCACCACCACACCCAGTCTCAATTGCCGTCTCAGCACGCCCCAGGGGGATGCTGGGGACCAAACCCAGGCTGCTGCATCTGCCTAAGTAGACACTTTAATCCGCTGTCTGCCATGTTTTTATAAAACAGTTGGTTACAGATACTCAAGCACCATTTTATCACTGGAAATGAGTAGGCATTCTGTACCCGTGACTAAGCACTTATGACCTCAGCAAATATGGAATTAAAAAATTTGAAGCCTTAGCCCCTACATAACAAATACTAAAGGGTTAAATTTAAGATGAAACCTTTTACCCTGGAAAATTAAATAGGAAACTTTATTTTTAAAAATATCAGTAGAGGACTGGACATGTAGCTCAGCTCAATGGTAGGGTAGCATGTGGAAGGTCTTGAGTTTGATCCCCAGTTCTGAAAAAAATAAGAATAAATCAGTAACAACAGATAACAGAAAAGGAGTCAATCATGGCACAGTGCTAAGACTGACAAGAATTTCTGTTGTAAAATAGTTCTCAGATATTTAAGTAGCCTGTGACTTTTGGGTTTTGTTGGAATATTTCATTATATGGAATTTAGCTGGCAAGCAAAGCTTGGATATTAAAAATAGATTTTCAGGGGACAGCCAAATAGCTCAGATGATTAAAGCGCCTGCTTAGGCAAACACAGTGACTGGGAGTTTGACCCCCAGGACTGCTGTGCTAGCCATGCCCCCGGGGCACACTGAAATGGTGATTGAGACTGGGCATAATGGCATAGGCCTGTAATCTCAGCAGATTACTGGGGAGGCTGTAAACAGGAGGATCACTAGGAGTCCGATCTATGCAGTGAGACCCTGTACACCCTGTATACCCTGTCCTAAATTAAAAAAAAAAAAAAGATTTTCAGAAACTGGATTTGGCTATTTTTGTTAAACACTGAATATTGAAGAGATCTAAATAAATGGAAGAGTAAATTTCAGATTATGAGGTATCTTAAACTAAAAGCATTTGATATCATTGTGGGGAAAGGTAAAAAAGAAAAACTATAAGGGCCAAGAAAATATTGATAAATGGCAAGCAGGACTCAACAAGGAGATTCAGGAGAGATTTTAGTGAGTTGTTTATTTATGATTCTTCATTCCTCAACCAGAAAAATAGGAGGGTGAACAAGTGATAGCAGGACTCAAAGCCACCACTTAGATGCCATCTTTAGAGCTGACTCAGCGCTCTCTCGCTCTCTCTCGCGCGCTCTCTCTCTCTCTCTCTCTCTCTCTCTCTCTCTCTCTCCCTATTGTGTATATTTTTAAGAGAATGAAACAGTTTCCATCTCCAAGGATTTTGACCACACACCTCCATTATGACAAGTTACCTCAGTCCATCTTCAAGAATAAAGCCAAGGTGAGTGTCCCTTCCTACTAATATTTGAATCTTTCAATTCTGTGTATATTACTGGCTTTTGTATGTGTGTGTGACACCACGGTAGGGACTGAACCCAGGGCCTCACACGGGGCAGGCAAGTGCTCAACCTGGAGCCATGTTTCCAGGTCTCGATAGAGGCTCCTTGAGATACAGGATGAGTTAGTCCTCATTGCAGAATTTTAATTGGTGACATGGAAGATCTTGTATTCCTTTTGTTTTGTCTTCAAAAGAAATGTGTAAGTTACAATGCACCCCTGTCAAATGCATTTTCCACTAGTATATAAAACATGTGTATAGGATGGAGTGTTCAACACTGTTGTGTTTCATAATTATTTTATAATTTAGCGATTTCACTGAGATATGTAGAAGGATTTTTTTTTTGGGGGGGGGGGTCTGGCTCAGGTTGCCTTAAGGGCAGGTCTAGAAAGGCATGAGGATCTGGGGATCGAACCACAGTATCATGAGCCTGACTGCCTTTGCTTAAGTAGGCACTTACCCAACTGAGCTAATGGGCAGACCCCTCACTGAGATATGTAGAGTACTTAACAAAAGAATATAGCTGAGTAAGATGAGTAAGCTTTTCCTTTTGGTTCTTTCTGGTGAGCACCATTCACCTGAGATCTGAGACTATTTTGTTTCTGTGTTCTATATATAATAAGATGTATGTCACGCATGCTGAACTGGCTGTGCTTTGGCTGTCCTTATTGTTTGTTTAAAAATCTCCGCTAAGCACTATTAAGGTACTTGATATACTCACTGGTTTTCCCAGGCATTTTTGTTTTCTGTTCCCCACTCTCCTGCCTCACTCCTTACTGCTTGGTGCCTATTTTTTCTGTCTCAGAAAAAATGGACCAGAATGAGCTAAAATCAAGGCTTAAACCCTGAAATACCACAGTCAAGAATTGGAGAGTGGGGGCTGGGGAGATGGCTCAGTGGTCTAAGGCACCTACTTAGAACAAGTTTAGCAAAGCACAGGGACCGCGAGCGCGGTTCAATCCCCCAGCACCACATGCCAGCCAGCCTCGCCCCCTGGTGGGCTGAGCTGGCCACACACACAAATAAATAAATAAATAAATAAATAAATAAATAAATAAATAAAAGAATTGGAGAGTGGCGAGAACTTAGCAAAGAAAGGCACAGGAGGAGAGCAGGTGTGTTAGCACCCAGTGCGAATGAAGGATGCGAGAAGGCAGAGGGAAAAGGAAACATCAGGAAAGTAGAGCCTTCAAATTAGCAACCTTGTGGCTGTGCAAAAATTCCAGAAGTTTAGAGTGGGGAAAATACTTAAAGCACTCACTCTAATGACCAGGAAGGTGCTTGAATTCCACTAAGTGGCTGTCTGGCTTTGGGCTGAGCACCTCCAATTATAAAGAAGTCCTTTTATTTCATATATGTATATATATAGCTCAGACTCGCATTGATCCTCCTGTCTCAGCCTCCCTGGAGCTGGGATTACAGGCATACGGCACCTCACCCGCTTTCAGTGGCCGGCGCTCCCGGGGTTCCAGGGTCCGGGGTTCCAGGCCCTGCACGGCATGTGGTGCTGGGGGTCGGACCCAGGTCCTTCTGCTTGCTGGACAGGAGCTGAGACCACTGAGCTATCTCCCCAGCACACCCCTTTAATTCTTAAAAACCAGCTCTGGACAGCTCTGTTAAAACGTTTTTCCCTATGTGAAAAATAAAATAAAATAAAAAAGCCATAACACTTTAAGATATAATTTCCACTTTTAATGCCGTTCACAAAAATCACAAATCTAAATTGCTCTTCATGAGGCTCTGACTGATTCTCTAAGAAACAGAAGTGCTTCTGGAAGCGATTTAGCTCGGGGCACGCAGGCTTGCAAAGAGCGCCCCTTGCACAAGCACACTGGCGCAGGGAAGGAGCAACAGCGAGGAACGCGCGGACGGACGCGGAGATCCGGCCACCGCGGCCAGTCGGCCCGCACATTTCAGGTTCAGACCCGTCAAAGGATAAATTCAGTGTAGCTCCACAGGACGAGAAGCGCTATGTGTGGATCGGAGGAAGGGTAAGTTTTAGAAGTTAAGGCCCACTTAATTATATTACATTCGATTCTGCTAGTTTTAGTTCATTTGTTTAGAGCACAAGTGTTTTGAGATCCAAATGCCCTCTATTTCCTATCTATGACTTTGGTTTTTAAAAAAAGCTCTGCGTCCTTACTGGGCACTCGTGCGGTTACCAGGCAGGTTTGTATTAATTATTTACCCTTTGAGTTTGCGCACTCCGTCCGTGTGCTGTGCCTCGGTGCTCCTGCCTCTTCCGTTTCTCATTACCGAAAAAAAAAAAGAAAGAAGGAAAGAAGGAAAGAAGGAAGGAAGAAAGAAAAGAAAAGAAAAGAAAAGAAGAAAAGAAAAGAAAAGAAAAGAAAAGAAAGAAAAGAAAAAAAGAAAAGAAAAGAAAAAAAAAAAATACGCCTCCGGATCTAATCTGGAACTCATTCCCCCCACCCCAGGAAATCCTGGTGTCAGAAACCCTGCAGGCTCGCGCTCAGGCCCCTGCTGCCCCCTGCCGGTCACTGCCGGTCACTGCCTCCTCCTCCTCGCCCCAGCCTCTGCTCTACAGAATCACAAATCCGAGCTGTGCAAAATTGTTTTCCTCTTTCTGAAAGTGAAAGGCCTTCTTCCCGCGGCCACTCCGCCGCCCCGCCCCCCGTGTCGCCTGCGTCCTCCGAGCTCCCGCGTGGGCTCTGCTCCGCGTCCCCGGGCCCGGGTCCCTCCGCGCGGGTCCCGAAGAGCGCCTCGCCGGCTTCTCTCGCCAACTCTACACCTTCCTTCCTTGACCCTTCACATTATCGAGCAATTTTTATTGCATGCGTGACTTTAGCCTTTCGGGTCATGAGCTTGTGACTGTCCTAGAAAGGTCTCTGTTTTTCTTTTTCTTTTTTTAAAATAGTTTGCTTTTTGTATCTAAACCCATGACTCGCGAAAGTCCTCAGCGACGACCTCCGCCTTCTTTTCCTTCGTTCTGCCTCCATTCGCCCTGGGTTTCCGCGTCCGTCACTTCTTTCTTTCGTCATGCTCTTTAGCACAATTACAGAATATACAAGTGCGTACAATGACATTGCTCACCCTTTTACTTTTCAAAATTTCACTACACAGACATGAATAATTTCACTTAATGTTTGCTCCCTAGATATTGGTGATGTTTCGAAACCCTAAAGATACGGCGGTGTCTTTTTTTCATTTCCACAATGACGTCCCTGATATTCCAAGCTACGCCTCCTGGGATGAATTCCTCAAGCAGTTCATGAAAGGACAAGGTACAGCTGTCAGTAAGAGAACTCGGACTTCATTAGATAGCCGCTGAAATGCAAAACTCGGTGGTCCTTTGGGGTACAGAAAGAAATGAGACTTAGGAAACAAAAATTACATTACTTTGTTTTAGAACTATTACACCAATAGTTCTTTTTAAATTTTTTTACTTTTTTATCTTTTTTTTTTTTTTTTTTTTTTTTTGGTCTTTTGGAGACAAGGTCTTGCTATGCAGTTCAGGCTGGTCTTGAGCTTACTTTGTAGCCCACGCTGGTCTTTTTTTTTTTTTTTAGAAATAGATATAAATGAGACAGTTTTACAGCTGATTAATAGGACTTTTTAATAATTAATACATTGTACATGGTTATCTTCTTAGTGGTTATCCATAGTACAAGAAGCAGACAGGATATTCTCTCCAAACACTGTTAGTATACCTCTTTCTTCTCATTGAATTAAGCGAAAGTAGCTGTAAACCTATCCTAACTATTTTGTATATATAAATACAAAATGATCTTTCCTTCGTATCCCTTTTTTTTTGTCCTGTCAGAGGTGAATATTCTATTGGCATCTAACTACTATAGGTGTTTGAATTCAACTAAACAATCTAACACTGTCTAGTGGTCTATAATATTAGTGGGTTATCCTCAGAAGTTATTGACTTGAGTCTTTTACAGCTCATCATATTAATATGGCTTTACTTTACATACCTCGTTTTTATACTTTTCTGCTGGATGTACACCAATAGTTCTGAGCATCAAATATTACAATCAACTGAAGAATTTATATGTTGAGTATAAATATTATGTAGCTATAAAACATGTGCAACAAAAAAAACCTGTAACAGAGTCAAAGACATAGACATTTCTAGTTTTTCCCTTTATATATAACCCAATGATGAAAACCAAAAAGTTCTTTAAAAGCCCTGGCTCTCATGTTGTTATGTTGAGCTATGGGGGACTCAGGTCAATAATTTCTGACATTGCCAGTTAAACAGAAGACCCAATGATATTATGGGCTTCTGGACTCTTTTAGAATATTTTGCTGAGTTTACACACCTATAATATTCAACAACGGAACTTAAAAAAAATTGGGGTATAACTATGAATGTCCATTTTGTATCTGTGTATTCAAAGTGGTTGGGATAGATATATAGTTACATTCTCTTAATGAATAGAATGATTTTTTCTAATGGTGTTTGTAAGTAGGATCACAAGTCTGCATCTTGTACAGCAATTAACCACTGAGAAGAATGTATGCAGTGTATTATTTGTTGAAACTGTACTTTCGATTTGATTTGAAACTGTCTCATTGCTATATGTTTATCAATAAAACTTTGAAAAGAAAAAAAAAAAAAGCCCTGGCTCTGACATTTGCTTGCCAGAAAAGAAATATTTTTGTTAACCATGTTAATGTTTTACCTCTGCCTATCAGAAACTACAATTTTGTGTCTACTAATTCTCTGGGTACTAAACTAAGTGTTACACACACATGATTTCATTTAAGCCCCCTACTTACAGATGCTGAAACTAATCCAAAAAAGTTAAATCAATTGCCAGTTGTTCCACTGCTCTTAAGTAATTCTGAGAACAGTGGCTGGAGGCAATAAACACCTCTACGGAATAGTGGTGGTGCTGAGCCCTTGGAGTGTAGTAGCTGGTAGAATTGATGGCAGGTGGTTGGAGAGGAGAGGCTGTGGTCAGTTCACTCTAGGAGAATGACTTTCTTGAAAAAGAAAAAAGCAAAGTGCTGCTTTTCTATTGTGCCTGTTTATGTGTGCATAAGTGCTTTCGTTATGTGTGTGTGTAGCGAAGGCTTATTACAGTCAAGCACATTAACGTAGCCGTGTCGCACAGCGACCTGGCTGGGTGTGCAGAGAAAACACTAAAAATCTCTCTTAGCAAAATTTAACTGTAGCATATTGCTAACCATAGTCTTGATGTTGTATAGAGATTTGTAAACTTATTCATAACTGAATAATTCCATTGTCTCACTACAAGTCTGTATCCTTTATCCTCTACCCTCCCATTTCTCTCCCTTCTCCACTCCTGGAAAAACCCCACCCTGCACATTTAGGTTTCTTTTTGAGCTCTACAAGTGAGATTATGTAGCATTTTTCCTATGGCTCGCTTCTCTCAGTTAGGGTAACATCCTCTGTGTTCATTCACGTCAGTGCAGATGGCAGGATGTCCCTCTCCCTGAAGGCTTGCTAGTATTCCACTGCGTACAGAGGCCTTGCAGTTTGAGAGGAGCGCATTCAAAGGTGGTCAGCGCAACAAAATCCACAACACCCCTCATGCATGGACACTGGATACAGAACTGGCTTCCAAGCAAAAATTAAACACAGGAGTTGAGAAAAGAAAAGCCCAAGGCCCAGCCAAATAGCACCTGCAAGCAGGCACAGGGGCCAGGGATTCAATCCCGGGGCCTGCCCTGCCAGCCCCGTCCCTGGGGTGTGCTGAGATGGCAATTGAGACTGGGCTTGGTGGCATGCGCCTATAATCCCAGCACTTGGGAGCTTGTAAACAGGTGGATCACTATGAGTCTGATCTAGTAGTGAGACCCTGAATACCCTATAGGCCCTTCCATAAAATACACATTAAAAAAAAAAAAAACCTGGGGCCTGGGAGCACCTATGAAGCACATTACGAGTGTGTAGGTTCACCCCCTTTTCCTTCACTGTACAAAGGCAGTTAAGGCAAACCTGAAATGCTGCTCCGCTCAGAGCACAAGCCAGTAAGTGACAAGAAGTTGTTATCAGCAGGACAATTTAGATTACAAAATAGCTTCTTTTAGCCTAATTAGTCGATTGGCAATGATAAGATGTAGTAATGATACAAAGTTGCAGTCGCTAGGATAAATCCTAGTATGTAATTTTAATTCTTACAAGAACCCTATGAGAATAATACTATTATTATCTTCATTTCATGAGAAGGACATAAAGGCATGGAAAGGTCACATAGGCATGAAGTAGTAGAGCTAAAACTTAGGCACATGTTGGGCTTGAACTTGAGCTCCTCCTACCCTACCTTCCAGAGTGCTGGGATGACACACATGTCACTACACTGGCTGTGCTTGCAGCAGCAGGCAGAAACTCTGCAAGGACACCCGGGATTTGGAGGCAGATTCCTTTATGTTGATGGCCACTGACCCAGGATCATTCCCAGAATATCAGGCCCTGATCTCTGGTGGTCTGGGGCTTACGGGGGATAATAAAGCAGGAAGCACAGAGGCAGAATGGCTCGCCATTTGGGGATTGTTTTATACAATGTGCATCATAGTGACCAGCTATGTGTCGCAGTGACCAGCCGTTTCTAAGAGACAGAAGCTACCGGAACTGGGACAGGAACTGTTACCTAGGCAACTAAGAAACTGAAGTATACTGGCAGGGGAGGGGGACATTTTGTGTTACATAATGACCCTATTGTACAGACGAGGACAGTAAGGTAAAAGGTTTAAGGAGTTGCTCAGAGTCACACAACTCATAGACAACACAACTAAACAGCCAATTGGTGTCCAGACCTGCAGGTTCCAATGTGGTAGCCTCCAGCTATCTCTGACAACTGAGCTTCTGAAATGTGATTAGTATAATTTAGGAGCTAACTCTTCAATTTTATTTTATTTTAATGGATTGAAATTTAAATTTAAAATGGGTACTCGATTCAGTTATCGGAAAACGGTTAACATTTTTACTAAGTTGGAGGTGTGACTATGTTTTTGCAAATGAAAATTATATGAAATCTAAACACATAACAAGTATTGTTAGTGGCAACATAAGATTATGTTTTATGAATAATCATATGTTGATTAGAGGTAAGAATGATACCATTTTTGAACACATTAGGTTAAATAAAGTGTTTTTCTGAGACAGGTTCTTTCTCTGAAATTCAGGATGGCCTTGGCCTCGAACTCATGCAATCCTCCCCTCGCCTCCCAAGTGCTAGGACTTCACATATGTGCTGCCACACCCAGAAAATAAAGTAAAATGTTAAAAGCATTTTACCTGTTTCTTCTGCTCTTTCACGTCACATGTATGGGCTTGTCTTGTATTTCTCCTGGGCAGTGCTAGTATAGATAATGTTTTCCTCATAATTTCTTTCTGATATTATCTTTGTCCATTTTTATGCATCATTCGCTATGACATCCTTGTTTTCATTTATGTCTCATAGGTTTTTTGGTTTTATTTTTGTTGTTTGGCTGGTTGGTTGGTTTTGGTACCAGGAATCAAACTCAGGACCTTATACTTGCCAGGCAGACATTCGTACTGCGGAGCTATGTCCTCGGCCCTGTTTTCTGAGACAAAGGCTTGCTATGTACTTCAGGTTGGCTTTGAACTCACTATGTGGTCCAGGCTGGGCTTGAACTCACAACAGTCCTCCTGACTCAGTCTCCAAAGTTCTGGGATACAGGCCTGCACCACCATACCCAGCTGTCTTGTTTTTCTCAAACAATTTTCACAATTTGTTCACTTGTGTTATTTATGGAAACTGTTCAAGAAAACACTGGGACTGGTATATATCACCTCTTCGGGTACAGGGATTTGTAGTAATTTATAAATATCTTGTTGAACATATACATATATGTGTAGCTTATATTTTATAATAAATTAACCATCTAGCATATTAACCTCTGTTATATAAAATCCTTATGAAGTTTCACCCCTATGTTTTAGTTTCTTGGGGAAGCTATTTTGATTTTGCAATTAACTGGAGCAAACACCTTGATGAAGAAAATGTCAAGTTTATATTATATGAAGACCTGAAAGAGGTGAGACTGATTATTAAGATTTTAAAGAAAAATTTATTATAAACTAATATATAAAATATTTCTTTTAATGTCTGATTATTTGAAAAAAAATAGTGTTCAACTTAAACATCCAGATATGCAATATGGTACTGGAAAAAATCCAACCACACATACATGTTTAGGTTGTTTATTCAACAGAAATAAAATAAAGCTTAATAACTTAATGTCAGCTGTTCTGTTTTCCCTTTATGATAGATAGCCCAAATTTCTCTAATAATAATGGAAAAAAGAAGTCTCAGATGATTTAATTGAACAAGCATTTGGTCGTGAAGTGCTTTTAAAAAATTGTTTATTCACTTAATAAACACTGAGTGAGTGGCTTCTCAGCATTGCCTTCAGCCCAGGTAATAAATCTGTGAACAAACTAGACAGCATTCACTGCCTTGAATGAGCTTCCTTTCTAGCTGGAGAAACTGGGGAGCCAGGCCGGTGAATAACAGACGCAACAAATGTGAAATGTATGCAGTATGTGAGAAGAAAAAGCAGCACAGCTGTTTAAGTGAAAATTGGAAATGCCAGAGGGCAGGGAATTGGAACTGTGGACAAATCCCAGTATAAAATAGGATTGGTGAGATGTTCCCATTAAAGAAAGTGAGAGAGTGAGCCCAGGTGGTAACTGGAGGAAGGGCATTCTTGGTGGAGGAAACCAGCTGGTGTGAAGCCCTGGGTAGGTGTCCCTGGTCTAACTGAGGGACAGAAAAGAAGTAGATAAACCTTGGGGCAGAGCAGAGTATGAGCAATGGTGTGGCCAGCCGGTGGAATGACTCTGGCTTTCACTCCAAGTGACATGGGAAGGCACTGTAGTATCTGAGCAGAAGAGAGCGATGTGATGGGTTTCTTACAAAGTCATGCAGCTGATGGTGGAGGGTGGACTGGAGCCATACTATCTCAGGAAGACCTGTGAAAAGGCTACTTTACTGGTCCACATTAGGGGAAAGGGTGACACAGACCAGGAAGGGACAAGGAAGATGACAAAGAGTGGCTGAGTTCTGGATAAATTTTGAAGGACAAGGAGCCAATATGGTTCGCTGCCAGAGTGGATGGAGGGGAAGGTAGTAAGAGAGAGAAGTCAAGGAAGATTTCAGTATTATTCAGCTCAGTATGGGAGCTGAGTTGCTGTCAGTCAAACAAGAAGTGATGTTATGTGAAGCAGGACTGTGGGAGAAATTAGAGGTTTGGTTTTGGGCAAAGTATTGAAGATGTTTATTTGTTATCCATATAAAAAGATCAAACAGGAAATTGAGTACAGAAATCTTCAATGCAGAGCATTGTGGGCTGCAGAAAAAGCTTGGGACTCCTTGGCACAGAGACATACCCATGAGATAAACGTACACAGACAGTGAAGATGAGCAAGAATTGAGCCTGGAAGTACAGAAGCGAGCCAGAGTATGGAGAAACAGGAGAACCAGCGGAGGAGGCAGAAGGGGTACCAGTGTGGGATGAAGAAAGCCAGAGTCTTAGATCCCCAAGGAAGAAAGCATGTTAAAGAGAAAAGCCCATGTCACAAGCTTCCTAGTTGGAGTTAAAACCAGTTTCCTATGACACCTTTTTAGAAAGTAAAGTAATTGAATCATTCTTTCTGGTTATAGGATGCATTTGTATGACATGAAAGAATATGCTAGTGTAGCGCTCTCTCTAGAAAAGCCTTTCTGAAACTTACACTCCATAGAAACTAGTTTTGCCTCAGATATTAATAATTCTTTTCTAAAATTATGGAAAAATAATTCTTCTTAAAAAAATCATTTATTGGGCCAGTGAGATAGCTCAGTGGACTAAAATGCCTGCTTAGGCAAGCCAAGGCAAACACAGGGACTGCTGCTCAATCCCTAGCGCCACATGGCCCGCCAGCCCCACCCCCAGGCATTCTGAACCAGCCACAGAGTCCAAGTGCAGTGGCACATGCCTGTAATCCCAGCGCTGGGCAGGCTGAAAACAGGAGGATCTCTATGAGTCTGAGCTGCATAATGAGATCCTGTAACAACCAAATACATTTAAAAAAATTATTTATGTATTTATCTATTTGGTACAGGGTCTTGCTGTGCAGCTTGGACTTGTAGTGATCCTCCTGTCTCACACCTGGGATTCCAGGTGTGCACCACCACACTGGTTTTGGTGGCCCATGGGGGCGGGGGTGGGATATGTGCAGAGATGAAGCATGCAATACTGAGGATCAAACTCAGATCCTTGCGCTTGCCAGGCAGGCACTTAGACCGCTGAGCTGTCTCCCTGGCCCCAATAATTCTTCATGGAGATTGGACAGTGGTTGTCTATATACATAGATTTAAGAGTATGGCATTATACAGCCAGCTCCTTTGGAGAGCCACATCCTATATTGGTATGTTAAAGACTCTTGAGAGATGCTGTAACAATCATCTGAACCTTTGTTTAATCTGAAGAATTCTGAATGCATTTGTCTCACTGTTCCCTCCACCTCTACTTTCCCCCATGAAACATGTGTAACTATTTTAAGACGTATTTAGTGTTTCGTAGAAAAGTTTAAGGAACTGTTCTAGAAGATTTATGACTCTCCACTAGTCAGGCACAGGGTTGGGTGGTTCATGCTTTACAAAGGCATTTAGGCAAGATGATGTTCAAGATTCCTTCATTTTAGGGCTGGCCAGATAGCTCAGCGAACTAAAGCACCTGCCTAGGCAGAGTGTAGTGACCGGAGTTCAATCCCTGGTGAGCTATGCTGGCCCCATCCCAGGGCACACTGAGACACAGATTGAGACTGGGCATGGTGGCGTGTGCTTGTAATCCCAGTGCTTGGGAGGCTGAACACAAAAGGATCAGCATGAGTCTGATTAACGAGTCCGATCTATGTAGTGAGACACTGTAGACCCTACACTAAATAAATTTTAAAAAAAGATTCCTTTACTTTTTAATTATTCTAAAAATTAAACTTTCTTGGTAGGATTAAGCATTTATTATAAATCAGATTCTGGAGAAAAGAGAACTCAAATGAACATATACAAATGCATTATTTTTTCTCAGCTTCTCTAGGATAGTACTTTTCAATATAATAAATATCCTAGATAAAATTCCAACCTGCTAACTGATGCTATGTTATGGCTTGTTTCTAGAGGTTCCCCCCAAAGCTCATGCACTCATAGGTGGGGGCTTTTCAAAAGTGGCTAGATCTAGGGTGTGTGATACTGGGATTAAGGATGTATGATAACTAAAGGAGTTCTGTCGAGTTCAGGCTGTGGATGGAAGTCCCGCTGTGGTTGTAGGTGGCGCCAAGCATTAGGTCTATGCCTGGATGGAATGTAAGCGGGGGAAAGGGGAGGCAGGCTCCTTGCTGCTTCACTGCTTGCTCCCTGCTTTGCCATGAACTGTTTCTCCTCTGTGACATCCCTCCACCATGCCATCTTACATCGGGGCCAGCTGACTATGGACCGAAGCCTCTAGAAACTGTGAACTGAAAGACATCTTTCTTCCTTGTCTTACTTATTTTTCTCTCCTTGCTAAGACAAAAATAAGGAAGGAAAAATTTATTTAACTGCAGCTCAGGGTGGCAGAAGACATCAAAAGCAGCAAGGGCAAAAGGGCGAAAGCGTGAACCTCTTTCCTTCCCTTATATTGTAAGCAGGCTATCCCTCCCCCAGGTCAGGTGTAGCCCTCACACCACCTTGTGCCCTTCTTTTGCACAGGATTGAGGATGTTTACAAAGTGAGGACTCTGACCCCTGCTGAGTTGCTCAGTTAAACTTCTAAACTTCTCAAGTTGACACAATGTATCAACCTGTACACTCTTTTCATTTGTGGTGTTGGGTATCATGTCTCCAGCAATGAAAACAGTAAGGAAGACACTATTATCATTTATACTTTAAATAAAAGTCATAGATTGAAACAACAAAATGCAACATATGGGAACATCTTTCAGTGACACCTGATATAAAGTATCAAAGTAAGACTGGGGAGAAATAAGCAGATGAACTTGGGCCTTAGGGTGAACAAATCCACTCTGATTTAAGAGCCAATATTTGTTCCAGCGTATTCCCATGGAAAGATGTTCATCCTTTAATGTTTCTGTTTTTAGGATCTGGCCACTGGCATAAAACAAATTGCTGAATTTTTTAAGTTCTCTCTAACTGGGGAGCAGATTCAAACCATCTCAGCCCAGAGCACCTTCTCAGCAATGCGAGAAAAGTCCCAGGAGACGCATGGCGCTGTGGGTCCCTTCCTATTTCGCAAAGGTAAACCTGCTTAATTTTGTGGGCTATAGTATCAATTAGGGAATGACTGTGCACATACCAGACAATCCAAATAACTATCTTAAAGTAGGCAGGGTTGTATTTTGCTCTTTCTTAATAAGAAGCCTAGACCTAGGGAGTCCAGATCTGTAGCTAGCAGCTCCCCCTTATTTCCAAACTTCTCCCGAAGCTTGCTCCACCTTACAGCTTGTCATTCGGTCCTAACTTACACCTTGTGAAAGGCAGTAGCCAGAGACACGCCGCAGTGCTCACAGTCTAAGTGGGAAAAGGGAAAGAGTTGCGCATATGAGCTAAATGAGTGAAGTAGGGAGAGCCTTCCGGGAAGTCCCATTCAGTATCTTCCAACATTTTGTCCATTACCTCTCTCCCTACAGCAGTAGTTAGAAATGTAATTTTATTTTTAAGCTGAACACACTATTATCAAATCAAAATCAGGATTTTAATATGAAAGGAGAAAATGGATGCTGGAGAGGCAGCTAGACATCTCTGACACATGATTTTACTGAATTTCATTCTTTTTAACTCTTATGGAAATATATAATTATAAAGCATAAGAATTGCCCATTCAAGTTTTTATTTTCAAATTTTTATTTTTAATGAAAACATATGATAAGGGCTGGCCAGATAGCTCAGCAGATTAAAGCACCTGCTTAGGCAGATGCAGGGACTGGGGTTCGATCCCTGGTGTGCTGCCCTCAGGGGCACACTGGGTGATTGAGACTGGGCGTGGTGGCATGTCTGTAATCACAGCATTTGGGCAGCTGAAAACAGGAGGATCACAAGTACGCTCTGTGTAGTGACACCCGGTAGACCCTGTACTAAATACATTAAATATATAAATAAGTGCTTAGTTTATATAATTTTTTTTATCTGAGTACTTTTTTTTTTAATTCTTCAACAGGAATCTTAAGTCTTCTATGGGATCACAGGAGTATTTAGATTGTTTGCTTTTAGTGGCAGTTTCTGCTTCTCAGAGTTAGAGTCTGGTGTGGTGTATCCAAGAGTCTTGGCCTGTGGTCTTGACAGCTGAAGCAGTTGACAGGATCCCTGTGTAGGGTCCCTCCCAAGTAGGTCCTCCGTCCAATGATCTCGGTGGATGACCTCCAAAATGATACAGGGAAGTAAAACTCCCGACCTGACCTGGATGAGTTCGTGTTCTCTAAAACCAAAGAATGAATTTTAGGAACAAACGAAGGTTGAGAGTGGAATATTTTATTGGGAAAGAAAGCTTCTGTCTCAGAGAGGACAAAAGGAGGACCCGAGCGGGTTGCCCAATATAATGTTTTTTAAAAAAAGAAAACATACAATAATAAGACTTGAAGGCAGTACATATAGCAAAGGTGACAGTTAACAGTGAGTAGCTATCAGGTATTAAACATTTTGTTGGCATCAAATTTTGGAAAACAGGTCAAACAAGAAACTGAAGAAAAAGGAAAAAAAAACAAAATATAGTAAGAAAAAGATAAAGAAAACAGTTAAAAGGAGAATAGAGAAAAGGGGAGGAAAGAAACTACAAAAGAAAAAAGATCAAAAAAGAAAATGAAGGAAAGAAAAGAACAATTTTTCATTTATTTATTTAGGAATTCAACAATGGTGGCTGTATTACATGATATTATCTTTAAATTAGTTGTTCAGCTTACCAGACATAACATGCAAGACTGGTTTAAAGAAAACACAGAATAAAATAGTAACAAAACAGCTGTAAGAAATTCAAAAGAAAATATAAAAATAAATAAAAAAAATTAACCATTAACTGCTCCTTTCAAAAGACCAGCAGAAAAAAAAAAAAAAAAGACCAGCAGAAGTGCCGGCCAAATAGCTCAGGGGATTAAAGCGCCTGCAAGCAGGCGCAGGGTCTGGGGGATTCAATCCGTGCCAGTCCCACCCCCAGGGTGCCCTGAGATGGCAGGTGAGGCTGGGTGTGGTGGCACAGGCTTGTAATCCCGGCCCTTGGGAGGCTGTAAACAGGTGGATCACTAACAGTCCTATCTAAGGGGCTGGGGAGATGGCTCAGTAAAATAAGCTCTTCCCGGGCAAGCGCAAGGGCCTGAGTTCCAGCCCTGATTCCTGAGTTCAAACCCCAGCTCCATCAAAAAATACATAAATAACATAAAAGCATCCAATCCATAGTGAGATCCTGAACATCCTGTAGACCCTTCCCTAAAATACAACAAAAAAAAAAAAAAAAACCAGCAGAAATCAGCAATGCCATTATCCAAACTATCTTGTGTATCTTTTTCTCTTCTTTTGTTTTTTTCCTTCTCAATGAACAAATTCTTCCCCTTTCATAGTATCTATTATACCTTTCAGATTTATTTACTCTTTCAGGTTTTCACCCTAACAAGACAATGTGATGTTTGCACATGGGGACCTGATTTATTTCACTTACCAATATAGTTTGCCTCTAGTTGCATATATTTATCTACAAAAGTCTCAAATTTATAGCTGAATAATAGTTCACAGTGTAAAAACACCATATATTTTTTGTCTGCTCCTCAGTTGATGGGCATTTGGCTTGTTTCCAGGATTTAGCTATGACAAATTATACTGCTATAAATATAGGCAGACATATATCACTGTGGTATGATGATTTCTGTTCTTTTGGAAAACTACCTAGGAGGGGAACAGCTGACTTGAATGGGACCTCTAATCCCAGCTTTTGGAGGAATCTCCACACTGATTTCTATAATGGTTGTATCAGCCTGCACACCCCCATCAGTGGAAAAGTGTTCCTTTTTCTTCACAGCCTCTCCAGCATTTGCTATTGGTTGACTTCTGGATGATAGCCATTTTTTCTGGCATAAGATGGTATGTCGGTGTTGTTTTAATTTGCATCTCTTTGAAAGACCAATGCTGTTGAACATTTTTTCATATATTTATTTGACATTTGTATCTCTTTATTTGTGAAATGTCTATTCATCTCAGATACCCACTTTTGGATTGGGTCTTGGAATTTTTTTTTGTGTGGGGGGGAGAGGCAGAACCAGGGCTTGAATTCAGGCCCTTACACTTGCCAGGGAAGCACTTATTCTACTGATTCATCTCCCCAGCCCTGGGTCTTGGAATTTTTGAGGTCTGGGTGTTTTCTGTTTTGTTTTTTTTTTTAATTCTTTATATGTTCTAGATAGGAGTCCTTTGTCAGAAGGACAGTCCACTATAATTTTTTCCCAATTTGTGGGTTTTCTTTTTACTGTGTCAGTGATTTCCTTTGACATGCAGAAACTTTTCAAAAAGATGATATTCTGATTGTTGATTTCTTTGAAGTATTTCCCGTGCTGTTTGATTTTTGTTCATGAACTCTCTACCTACTCCTATGTCCTTAAAATTTCTACCTACTTTCTCTTCCATGAGGAAAATACTAATTTTTAAAAATTAAAAGAAAAAAAAATTGTGGGGCTGGGGAGATGGCTCAGTAGGATAAGCGCTTGACTGGCAAACGCAAGGATCTGAGTTCAATTCCCGGTTCTGCCAAAAAGAAAAAGAAAAAAAAATTGAGTCAGAGAAAAAAAATTCCTCTATTTTTCAATGAATGATTTCCTTCCAGGACCTGCAGTCTTGCAATCTAGGCAATCACCGCTTTTTCCACCTAGCTTTGGGGCATGTGGATTCTCGAGGTACCTTCCTGAACCACAGGGCCTTCAGTCCACTCACCTCAGATGGTGGTTACCATCTGAGCCAACACATGTCATTGCTCACGTTGTTAGATGAGCAACTTCATCAACACTCTGGTCTCTGTTGGATGTAGCCACAGGACGTGGGTTCAAGCTGACTTCAGCACTTAATATCAACACTGATGAAGTCTGGTTTCTCCCTACTGGGAGGAGGACCATTCCTTCCCAGCCTGAGCTTACATTTGGCGGAGGCAGGGTCATGTATGGACCTACTCCCTCTTTGCACTCTGAAGTGGGTTCCTATGGTCATCTTTCCTGAGGCCAAGAGTAACACAGCAGCCCCTCGAGTGGCTGACCAGATCCATACTTTCTCCCTGAGTTGCTAGCTTTCTGAGTTCACCTTTCTCCCCAGACATTTTCCTCATCTAGGATCAGGTCGATTGGGCATTCCACGCCTCTGTTGCCCTATGCCAAGGGGAAACAAAATGCAGAGCTGGCTTGGAGTTGGTGGATGGTTCTGGCCTTGTATCAAGAGGCATTAAGTGTCTAGTGTAGGCCTATGTCTCAGTTACTCCTCTCTCATTGCTGGGACAAATACCTGACACCCAAAAATGAAGGAAGGAAAGGTTTATTTAGCTCACGATTACTGGAGATTTCAGTCCATACTCAGCTGGCTTCAAGGCAAAGTGGCACATGGCAGAGAGCAACCTTTCACGGCGGCGGCAAAGAGCAGAGAGCAAAATGGAGTAGCAGCAACAATGGCAACAGAGAGTGTGTCTCTCTTAAATTACATGTAGGCTATCTGCCCCAGGCTGGGTGCAGTACTTACACCCATAATCCCACCAGTACTAAAACCCATAATCCCAGTGGATCATGAGTTAATCTCAAACTCTAGAAGTCCCTGCCTCATGGCAGCATGAGGCTTTGGGGGGACAACTACACACAAACCATAACAGCCTACTTGCTTGTATTGGGGTAGGAGGTAAGGCAAATTTTTATCCATCCTTTCTTATACATCAAAGTGAAATACTGTACCCCCAACAAGGGAATGTGGGTAGTAAAAGTCAAGAAGAAATATTTCAACACATGTCTGCTTTCAATGTGTCTTTTGTGTTGTAGGTGAAGTTGGTGATTGGAAAAACTTGTTCAGTGAAGCTCAGAACCAGGAAATGGATGCAAAATTCAAAGAGTGTTTAGAAGGCACTTCCTTAAGCGCAAAGCTGAAGTATGAATCATATTGTCACGACTGATTCTGGCTAAGTTGACAGGGCTGGATGTTTTCTTTTCTTTAATACTAAATGAACTTAAATAATTAAATCATAACTCACACAATCAAGCAATGATAATTAGGTAACATTTAAATCTGAATATTACAAATCTAAGAATGATAATA